GAAAGTTTTAGTTATTATTTTTAAAGAATGAAAAAAACAAATAATAAATTTAAAACACAAGGGACAAAAAAAGGTATGAGTATGCAGTTTTAACAAAATATCCAGGAAACATTTGATCATCTACATTTCATTTTTTTTGAGAAGAGTACACTGAACAATGAGGAATTATGCCAGTATCGAAAGTAATGACATTATAAATATTGGCAAGGATTAGGGTGTAGGGCGTGGCTATAGGGTTAAGCCTCGGACTGACCTGTTGGCAAAGCCACAAACAGGTCCCAGCTTAGAGGGCACAGTCCTCTTAGGGTAATTAGGCTTGACCTTATGACCTCCCTAGATCTTATCTGGGAAGCTAATGGGCTGAGGAAGATGTAGCAAGTGCTGCCAAAACAAGTAAAACTCACAAGTACACTGTAACTATGGTGACCACTACCTTGTTTACCTCTGGCTATAAAATTAAGGCTCAGCTTGCCATTCTGATCTCTGTGGCCTCAGCCAGGCACAGGAAGATCCACCTAGACCCAGCTTATTCTCTTTGTCATTTCTTTATCCTTCGCTGTCCTCCCTCAGGCTTGCAGAACCCTTGGCTGAGCTGGCCCAGCACATTAGGGATCACATGTCAAAATTATTTTCAAACAAAAACTGACTTCAATAGAGACTTAAATAGGTGAAAATGAGCTATTCAAGAGGGTGTCAGCCCTGTTGTACCTTCTCACTGTAATTAATGTGCTCAGTGGAGAACTTGGTAAGGTGATAATGGAGTCCCTCACAGCAAATCACACATAGCACTTTCTAATGAGACATTAATTTTACAATATGATTTCAGGTGTCATATGTAAATAAGGCCATAAATAGAAATTCTCACTTTGTTCATACATTATTTTCCTGACTTTGGTTAGCATCTTTATGACCATTATTTTGAACTCTTTATTAGGTAAGTCACTTATCTCCATTTCATTAAGGTATGTTACTGAAGTTTTTTCTAGTTCTTGGGTTTGGAACATAAGATATCTCTGTTTCTTCATTTTCCTTGACTCTGTGGGTTGATTCCTGCACATTAGATGAAACAAGCACCTCTCCCAGTCTTGACAGAATGATCTCACATGGGAGATGAACCTTATCCATCAGCCCAGCCAGACTCTTGGTTGTGTCTCAAAATCTTTGTGACTGTCCAATCTACCTTCTTTGTTCTTATGTAATGGAAAGTGTGCCAAGACCTGTCAGTGTCCCAAAGAAAAAAACTGCAGTCATCCAGAAAACCTGCTTTAAATGAAACAGAAGTGATTGTGTAGAACTATAATGATAAAGAATAAAAAGTGAATACAGAACTGCTATGTGGCTTCCTTCCAAGAATCCATATTAGTAATTAAAAACATTATAAATAGTCATATAAAATTGTCTAACTACTGTGTGCTGGC